CAAATGGGAAGAAATAATAAATGTAAACTCAGTTTGGAGCCATATACATATATTTGGGAATGATTCTACTATTTAATTGGGCTAGAAGATTCTACATCTGCAACTGAATTACTAAAGAAATCCCACATTAATTGGAGGACTGTATGCCATAGTAACAATGACAGAAACAGAAAAACATGAAAGTCCCTTTTCAAAGTTGTGTCTAATCCTGACCGGAAAGGTTAGTTGAAGAAAGGATACCTGAAGACCATGTGTTTCTGTTAGAGCCTTCTGACCTCAGGTTGTATAGCACTAGGGTATCTCTTCTGGCACAAAGGAACATCTCTTAAGATGACTGGAGGTGACTAGGGTTAAACATTTAAACAGTATAAGGAGAAGTCAATGATACGAAATAGACAATTCTAGATGATCAGAGCTACTGCAGAGACCTTTTAACACAGATAATCACAATAAACTCTGGACAGACTCTGAACTCCCTGAGGGCAGAGAGAGGGATGAATAGTCTCACACCCTGGCAGGCAAACCCCAGGTCTGTCACCAGTGTGCCCCGAGGGGTAGTCTGCTTGTGGGGAGGAGCATTTTATCACTGAGATGCATTAGAATGGTGATGTTAAAGAGTTACTTTTATAACTGTCTCAAATTCTCAATAGATAACGCACCCCTTATGTCTGTAGGCTGCACCTTTCTTGGTACACAACTGCCACATCTAGACAGTGTTTATTTCGCTTAGATCTCTTGAGATGTAAGAGTGACACATGCTGATGGGTCTAGTGGGGAGCTGCCCTTTAGCCAGGGCAGCCCAGTCCAGCCACCATGCCTGCTATTGCCCGAGTGCCTGCACAGTGCATCTCCATGGCATGAGCAAGAAGCATGGCTGGAAGAGAAGAGGGAAGGTCCTGGGAACAGAGACTAGGAACAAGTGAACGCTTTCCAGTAACTAGGATCTAGTGTATTCAGATGTTTTCTATCAACCTGGCCTTGCTGACAAACATCTGATTTCTGAGTAAGACCTTGGCAGTTCTCACATATATGGTGGCTGCTGGAGGTGTGCTGGGCTCAGATGTGCATTCACAAAACTTTTATCCTGATTCATTGTAACCCTGCTACCATGATGGTTTTGATTCTCCTGAGTCTGGGACCACTGTGACAACACAGATGAACCACATTATGGAATAAAGGAAAAGAGATGGCTAAACTGTGTGCCCTAAAAATGGATCTCTCAGAATGAGTGACTTCCGCTGACTGGTGGGCAAAAGTGTGGCTAATGTATGCATCAGGGGGACTTCCTTGGTCCAGTGGCTAAGACTCTGTGCTCTCAATGCAGGGGGCCTGGATTTTATTCCACATGCTGCAACTAAAGATCTTGCATAATTCACTAAGACCCAACACAGCAAAATAAATAATAAAAATAAATATTTTTTTAAAATGTATGCTTCACTCGTCACTTTACTGTTTGCTTCTTTTGCCTGATACAACCCACAGTATCCAAATGATACATACCATTACAGTTAACTACAGAATGTTTGGGTGAATCTATTCTGATCAAAAGAGGACTTAGAATTGTACACCAGTCCTATAATGGCCCTCAAGCCTTCTTCTTCTGCAGATGGACTAGACAAAGGATTAAGAAGCAACAACTTATTAGATTATGGAAGATGTGGCCACAGCTGGGAGGGAATTGGGGTAGTTATCAAACAGAGAGAGCATTGTTACTGAGCCAAGTACTACTCAGGGCTCCAGCACAGGCAATAAAGTTCAGTTCAGTCACTCAGTCATGTCTGACTCTTTGCGATCCCATGGACTACACATGCCAGGCTTCCCTGTCTATCACCAATTCCCAAAGGTTACTCAAACTAATGTCCATTGAGTCGATGATGCCATCCAACCATCTCATCCTCTGTCGTTCCCTTCTCCTCCTGCCTTCAATTTTTCCCAGCATCAGGGTCTTTTCAAATGAGTCAGTTCTTCACATCAAGTGCCAAAGTATTGGAGTTTCAGCTTCAGCATCAGTCCTTCCAATGAATATTCAGG